AATACTAAACATGTATTCTTTTTAAAATGTTGCTAGTTTCCCCCCTCAGAGGATTTTTACTTCAAATTTAATTATATTGTTTTTCTTAAGTAAGTCAAGTGCATCAACCTGCAAGCACATGCTTTCTGCTTTAAGTTAACTCCTTAAGGAAGATTGGAAAAAGTGTATTTGTTTTCATTCCTTCCTGATACTTGAGTAGTATTTTTTAAGAAAAGAATTAATGCATCTTAATGGAGTTCAGTATAACCTTTTCATGCATTCATGCAGCAAACATAAACTGCACGTGTCCATTTTTTTCCTTATCCTAGCACCATCCCGAATTCTTAGTAATATCTACCCTACTCAGATTAAAGTTTCATTTCACAAGAAATGAGATTGGACAACAATACTCAGCCTCCAGTGAATGAATTATTTCACTTAGCACAGTATCTTTCTTGTTCACTCATTTTGCAGCAAATGATGGGGCTTCATTTTTCTTTATGCCTGAGTACTACTCCATTCGTGTCTCAGAAAGAATGAGATACAAAATACTAAGCAAGCTTATTTCCTGTCAGTAGGTCCTGATTGGTGCCCTTTAACTTTAGTTTTTGAGATAAGTCTACATACTTTTTCTCTATGATGGGAGATAGTTAATTTCTCTAAAGGTTATACATTAATTCAATTTATAAAGCCACATATGGCTAAAAACACAGAGAAGTTTTTCATACTGGTTCTTTAATCCCATCTGAGGTAAACAAACGTCTACCCACTTTATGGGGAAGACTGTTATATACCAGGATGGCATATCCAGTATTAGGAACTGTTATCCCACATAATATATGTCCCCAAATTTACCTTAGTCAAGAAATATTGAATATATTTATTCAGGCAGATGGCTCTCAGCATCAAACCCTGCAGAAGCGTCTAACTCAGCTTCCATTCTTTCTATGTGGGTTCCCAAATTTCCTCTTCCAGAATGTCCACACGCACTCCTCACGTAGATACACTCCTCTAAAGGGTAATAAAATGTCAACAATAAATTTCTAGCTTTTCGTATCAAAATTAGCATAACATTTAAGGAAGATTTTAATTTTAAAAATCTCATCCCATGTCTGTTTCACACTAATGCCATGTAGGAATAGAAAACATCTCTTGTAATGACTTCTTTTACCTATTTGAAGAATATTTCAAGTATTTGGTATTTCACTTGTTTTAGTGACTTGAGTTATACTAAGTTCCAAGCTCCTGCATAGCTTCAATTGTTTTGAGTAAGACAAAGAGAGGAAGTTGACTTGGAAGAAGTTCAAATTTATTTTTAATCAGTTCATTTGAGAGATTTTTCCTCTGTGATTGCTCTAAGATTTAAAACTGGACCCTTTCCCACTAAGGATCTGAGAAGCATGATCTTGTACAGCTATAATGTGACCCACCTGTACCATTTAGACACATCTAGCTAGCCAAATTCTGAAAGTAAATAGGGAAATCTACAAATTAATTTAACAGTGTTTAATCCAATATCTCATTCAGAGCTCAAATAAAGAAAGCCAATAAGAAGATTATGAAGAACCATTTAAGTGTCAAGAGATTTTTTCTCAAGGATCTGCTTGTGTTTGTGGAGAATAAGGAAGAAAAGTCACAGGCAGGATTGAGTCCTTTCCAGGAAAACTCAGGTCTCTTCCCAGAGTTCTCCAGTAGACCTGTGAGAAAGATGTGTTTGTGAAATCTAAATTGGTAACGTGTTATCACTCAATAAACAAGAGCCTGCATGGCCACAATTTCCTGGCTAAAGTGTAAGGAGACAGATTGGCATAGTCTATAGAGGCTTTGGCGGATCTCCTGACAGCTGATAGCCACTGGCAGTGATACTAGTGTTGTGAGACCTGGAAAACTCACTCAAACTACTCAGAATCATCTTAAGATTTTCTGATTATGGATGGTTTTAATAAAATTTACGACAACTTCCAAAAACTCAGTGTTTATTCACATAATTTCATACAGTAAGCTACCAAAATTGGACCATTAAAATAGTCACAGGTGGTAGACCCCAACTGGCATCCTTATAAAATGTGATTAATATAAACTTCATTAAAGAGATACTTTATTTTTTAAATTAAATATTCATCCACTTCATTCTTATAAATTGTATTAATTTGGACTTGCCACACAAGTATGTACAGATGTCTATCAATGAAGTCGAAACAGTGATGATGTATTTAATACTTGTAGTTGATGCTAATTATGTATATTTAGAGCAGAGATTCTCAATGGGGGTTCATTTTGTGTGACAGGAAACATTTGCATTCAACAGGCTCATTTGCAATGAGCAGTTATACATACCAGGGGATTAAAAAATTCTCATCATTCTCATTCTCATGGGATACAGAGAAAAATATAAAATAATTTCCCTGGAATAAAAATTAATTGTTGGAAAATTTGGGTATGTTGCCAAGAATAAGAATGCTTGCATATCATGTACAGAAATCTGAGGTCAATTACCGGAACTCCTTTATGCAAAATTAAACAAAGCAAATGTAGCTATATATTTAATATATTAAAAACAAGCTAATGTAAAAATTAGCTGTCACTTTTCATTGTTACAATTAAAAAATCTTTATGGCCCTACTAGTATCAATTAGATAGATGCCAGGGATGCTGCTAAATATTCTTGAATTCACAGAATCTCCCCATAGCATTACTATATCATATTCACCCAATCTAAGAAAATCACAGTGCTAAGCTGAGAAACCTTCCCATGGACTTTAAGGTGGGGGCATTAAGGAAATAAACAGTATTGTGAAAGCCAGGAAGAAAGAAATGCTCTTTGATTCCGTCCTGGTCCTGCAGACTTTTCCCCACAGATAAGAATGAACATGTAGTGTCATCAGCACTGTCTGACCATACTCAAAGTCGCAATGAGATGACAGTGGACAAATGGCACTGTGCATACTAAAATGATTGATTAAGGGTAGTAGTTGAGGGAACACCTTCATAGTTGTGCATATCTACTTAGAAGAATAATGCATGCCATCCGCTGTCTTTTCACAGGATATTGAGGGTTTTTGAATGATTTGTCTGGAGATAGTAGACTGTTGTGGAATATTAGTTAAAAATGTGTTACATTCTTTTATGCTGTGGAGTATTTATTGAATTATGCAAAGATGTGTTGCATTCTTTTATGATGCATTTGTTTAACTCTGTGTGGCTGTGTTACTTTGCCTACCCAAAATACATGACTGGTCTAATAAAGAGCCGAATGGCCAATAGACAGGCAGGAGAAAGGACATGTGGGGCTGGAAGACAGAGAGAATAAATAGGAAGAAGACATCTGAGAAGAAAATGAGGGAGTGAGAAATGGAGAAGGAGGGGAGGATGTGGGGCGCCAGCCACCCAGCTACACAGAATGCCACAGAGTAAGAAGTAAAGAGAGGATTATATAATAGAGAAAGATAAAAACCAAGAGGCAAAAAGTAGATGGGGTAACTTAAGAAAAGCTGGCTAGAAACAAGTCAAGCTAAGGCTGGCATTCATAAGTAAGAATATGCCTCTGTGTGTTTATTTCGGAGATGGGGAGTGGGCCTGCCAAAAAGCAAAAATAGAAAAAACAACAACAAAAAAACCAAACTACAGTCGACTTCTAAAATATAACAAAGATGAAAATGCAAATTAGCAGATGACAATTTTAAATATATACAGTAATTACTGTCATGTCAGACCAGCTGCCAAATAAACAAGTCAAACAGACATCATTGGCATTTTTAAAGAAAACACATATTTAAGAATGAGTAATCTTTTGGAGGTAGCAATAACTCTTTTTAAATCTTCATTTCAAATTTTCTTCTCTCCAAATTAACTGTGAATTCAGAATTAACTTCATTTTCTAAGGTTTGGCAATAAATATATAATACTGCCATAATATATGGTAATACACATATATATTATGATGAAGCTTCCTGCAAGTTGAATAAACTTGTGAAAATCTGATATTTAGAAAAAGTTCAGCTAACTATGGAATGTACCATATATAGTTGGCATAATTGTTGTTTAAATACAATGTTAGATGCCACTCACAGATGTATTTTGGAGTTGATAATTCTAGAATGTATTCCTAGTTAATGGCTACAGTTCACTTCAGAAGTTCTTAATTAAATATGAAAAAGCTAAGTCTTCCTTAAAATCAAAATGAAGTACATACTAGAGATTCTATGCTTGAATCGAAAGTAATTAAACTTAAACACAATCAGAGATTGTGATCATTTTCTGGAACTGGTGACAAGCATCTCTGTCAGTGTGAATTCTCACTCTTTAGATGACTGATTTTGAGACAGTTCCACTTTTCCTTTATTTCCATAAAGAAGCAGTTTTATGTGGCAATTTTTAACAAGCCTCTTTCAGACCTCAGTAAGTAGTGAAGCACCTGCCTCTATCTTGGGCTTGTAAGCCATTGTATGGCAAAGACAAACTAGGCTCATTCTTGTTTATGATTAACTGTTTCTTAAGGATTGAACCATGTACCACCTGTACATCTTAGTCACAAATGAGTCTGTACTTCCTGTTGCAGAAAATGGCAACCATCCTTTGTTTCAAAACCATCTTGCACCATTACCTTTGTTGTTATGACTAACCTGTTATGTTTATGTTCTGCTCCTGTAACTCTGGCTATTTTGCATGCCAAATCTCCTATTTAGAAACTTCCTACTCCTTAGCTATAAAAAACAAACAAACAAACAAACAAACAAAAAACAAAAACAAAACAAGGCATGTTTTCCTCAATTCCAGTTCTGGCCTTTCCAACCCTGCTTTAAAGGGAGGCAGCCCATGTACATGAGTAAAAACAGGTTGCTTTAATTAATTTGACCATAGTGATTTGGATGCATGGTCTTTCTCCTCCCATCATTGGGATTAAGATATGCTTGTTAGAAATTTTTCTATTTTGTTGTGAAATTCAAAAGTTTAGGTCACTGGTCTGGTTTAAATGTTATAACTTTTCAAGATTTTAAACTGTATATTTTATGTTTCTGTAGAAATCCACAAAGAAAAGGCTGAAAAGCAGGAGAAACCTGAGAAGAAAATACAAACTAAAGGTACAGTTTCATTTTGTGCTGCTGCTCCTGTGTCTCTACCTCTCATGGCTCCTCCTGCTCCTGTCCACTTCCTTTTCCTTCTTCTCCTCCTCTTCCTCCCCTTGTTCTTCATTTTTCCCCTCCTACTCCTCCTTCTCCTCCCACTTCCTCCTTTTCACTTTCATTTTGAAGAGGTACACATTTTTTAGTGCATTCAGATGGTAGAAAAAGTATTTCCATAGTTAAAGGTTTTTACTTTTAAATGTTTGGTGATATTCACATCATTTCTTTCTTCCTCAACTAAATTCCAGGTATGAGTGGCTGAACAACATTCCATGATAGAAATCAAAACAACTGAGAAATTGGTGAAAATATTTGCTTATAATGATAAATAGTATTGTAATATTTTACATACCAGACGTTTTTTCTTTTAATCTTTTTCTGTAATGATTCACAGTTCACATTTTAAACATGAACTTGGAATACCATTAAATGCCTTAATAATCATTGGTTCAGACATGTAAATCATTAGATTACAGCCTCAAGGGGTAGATAGACTGTTACAACATGATAATTAATAATCCTTTCTGCGAGTTTGAATACTGGAACCAAGATCATGCAATAGAAGCATTTCAGTAAGGGTCAAATCTTCCTTGCTCATCTGAAAAGTGTTACTTTTCTGTGGGAGATACATGTAGCCATGAAACTTTAAATAAACATATAGCAAACAATGGCATTCAATAGGAATAAATTCCTCCACATGACCAGGTTTTGAAAATGGGCAATTATACATAATTTTGAATGTTCCAGGGGATAAAAATAATTCTCACCATTACCATACTTATGGAATACAGAAGGAAAAAAAGTTTCCCTGGAATAAAAAGTAATTGTTGGAAAAGCTGGGTCTGTTGCCAAGCAGAAGAATGCTCGCATGTGTAGAAATCTGAGCTCAATTATCAGAACCTCCAATATGCAAAATTAAAGCAAATGTAGTTACATAATCATTATATAAAAATTAGCTAATGTAAAAAATTAGCTGTCACAGGTAGCACAGTTGAAAATGCTGTCCCTATTAGCTTACAATACCATGCTTATCAATGTTGGGATGTCTAAGTTTATCTAAATTAAGATTTATAAATTGTTGTTTATAAATATATTTTATGTCTTAATCTCCCTATGAGATTATAGGGGCTAATTATATTGAAACTACCACATACCACTCCCTGGTCCCCGTAAGTTTGTAACAATATCATAATACAAAATGCATCTAGTCCAACTTAAAAAGTCCCCATTGTATATCACACTCTCAACAATGTTTAAAACTCCAAAGTTCAAAGTCTCTTTTGAGATTCATGTAATCTTAACTGTAATCCCCTGTGAATCACTTTTTGTCAGCCAAAACTTACACAATCAAGAGATTGACACACTCTCACCTAAAATTTGTCTATACTTTGTTTTTAGGGGCTAATGTCTTCTTGCTACATATGTTCCATTTTAGGTTCTTAACTTTTTTTGGCCAGGAAAATTGGACACTGCTTCTGGGCAAGGGTTGATTAAGTGAACCATAACTGAACTGGCTACTTCTCTCTGCCTGAACTGAAAGAGAAACTCAACTGGTTTCACTTGATTAAAGTCTCCATAGCCTCATTCTGCAGCCTCCACTGTAATTTAGCTGCAAGTCTGCTGGAGTGAATATGGTGATGCTGATGGAAACATTTCCATTTGGAACCTGGCTGTCAGAATCCTGCTGTCAAAGTCTTTAAGCAGTAGGCTGTGGAGTGGGTTTATTAAACCAGTGAGTCTCCTGTAATTAAAACAGTGGATTTGGCTGAAGTTTAAAGTACATTTCTCAAAGCCTGTGCTGGAGATTAGTCACCTGAATATATCTCTTGGCTCTGAGTAAAAGAGATAATTCCGAGAGAGGGAGAGACAGACAGAAAGATAGATGCTGTGTTGATAGGCAGTAGGTAAGTAGATAGATGATTGATACATAGAGAGATAGATGGTAGATAGACAGATGATAGAGAGGCAGATATATAGATACATAAATACATAGGTAGACAGATGCATAGATAAATGATATAGATGAATGATAGACAGATAGATAGATGATAGATAAATAGATAGATAGATAGATAGATAGGTAGATTTATAGACAAAGACTGCTTTTTCTCTACTGTGAGAGCATAAGTGGAATATTTATTTTTCAATTATTTTCTAGTTTCCTGTCTGTAATTAAGATGGAATACTCTCTAGCTTTTGTTCCTCAATAGTTATTGACAATGAGTCTTATAACTACATATTTACAAACACTTTTAGACCTACTGATATATGTAGGTAAATAAAACAGACTCTAAGTCACATTCCAGATTATCTGTGGGTGAATGCGAGGGTTAGTTATGGTTTACATGATCATTAAAACAACTGCAACTCTTATAAGAAAGTACATAATACACAAGATATGGTTGACTGTGACTATTATAAACAAATACCTTAACCTAAAAAAAGACTGAATATACTAAAGCTGAGTTATTTTGTGAAGAGAGAAGTTTTGGTGATAATTAAAACTAGGTCATACACTATTTCACTTTCTCCTCTTCTGTTTCTTTTATTTCTTCTTTCCCTTCTTTCTGCTGACTTCTTTCCCTACCCCTTTAAAATAAAAACAAAAATTTCTGAATCAAAGAAAGACTTTAATAGTACATGATGAGTTTATACCTGGAATATTTACTCATCAAAGAAATGCAGAAAAGCAAGCAATAGGTAATGCCAGAGAACACAGATTGCTAACAAAAATACATTCAAATATGTTGTGTTTTATATTAGAGGGGGATATAATCAATTTCAATAATGACTATTAAGCTTAGAAAATAAGATAATTTTCATAGTTTTTGATGCTAGATGATTTAAATTTATAAGACGTTAACTCTTCTGGTTGTTTTAATGCTTTTCATTGGGGGAAGAATAGGACAGTTTCATGGAGTTAAAAAGCAAGCCTAGTAATATGCATTGGTTATGACTTTAAGCGTAAGCTCTGACAAAGCTCTGACATGTTAGTTAATACTTGCCTTTAAACCAAATTAACCCTGGTAAAATTTCCCCATAAAAGAAGTAGGAATTTATTTTGTAATTATAATCAGAACAATGTATGTTCTTGTGACCTTGTATTGAGTTTGTGTAGTGAGTAATACAGAGGATCGTTACATTTGCTTAGAAGAAACATAACCATAACATAACTCTCCCTGGATTACGATTGTTATTACCTCAAATATCAGTCATGTAAATGGCCTTTCATGAATTTGTGGGATAAGTTCACCACAATAGAATAGTTATAGGTTCTGAGAAGTAAGATTTAAAACAAGTTTGCACAAACAATTCTCTTTCCTTATGAGGGTAACAGTTTGTCATGAAATTTTCATAGGTCAAAACGGCCTTGAAAAAATAGCTTTTATCTAAAGCCCAAGAATTTATAATATGAGCTTGTCAGCTAAAAAGAATGGATACATATGCAGATGGAGGTGAACAAAACATCTTGGACTCGAAGCTCATGAGTGTTTCAGGTGAAAGAATGTCCATTGTGGAAGTGGAACAAGCAATACATCTGAGGTCATAACAACCTTAAAATACACTGGTTGGTTCAGTTCAGATGTCTTCTCTGTAGTCCAGTGTCTTTCTGCTGCAGTTTGTCCTTTTTCATCATCATTAAGAGAATTCAACGTTAATAAAGCATTATGTAACATGAGTTTGGGGGTCTTTGTTCCCCTTGGCTCTTTATGAAGCATCTCTTTTAAGGTTGGGTTATATCTTTCAATCACTGCTTGTCCTGTAGGATTGCAAGTTACATGCTTTATATTATAGTATTTGAAAAATTGTTCCAATTTACTGGAGACATATGCTGGAGCATTGTCAGTTTTTATTGATTTAGGTACACCCATAACAGCCATCACCTCTAAGAGGGGTGTAATAACAGAATCAGCCTTTTCAGAGCTGAGGGCAGTAGCCCATTGGAAGCCTGAGAACATGTCTATGGTATGGTGTACATATTTCAAACTGCCAAATTCTGGGAAGTGAAATACATCCATTTGCAAAAGTTCTATTCTGCGAATACCTTTAGGATTACAACCTGCTGGTAACAGAGTTTGATTGTAGAATGAGCAAGTAGGGCAATTTCTTACTATTTCTTTGGTGTATTGCCAGGTGATAGAAAAATCCTTCTTTATACCTTTGCTGTTAACATGGTGTTTCCTATGAAATTCTGAAGCTTCCAACACATTATCTATTAATAAACAATTAATTTCATCATTGTCTTGTGCCAGAGGACCTGGCAGACCTGTATAGAATCTGATGCGTGTTATTTATATAGGATGAGTCCTGTTTCTGATGCTTTCTTGTAATTGTAAAAACAATGAGTTTAATTTTGCAACAAATTCTGCAGTCTCAATGTACAAGACAACTCTCTCTGTATACTGAGAATCCATGACTATATTGAGAGGCTATGTTAAGTCTTTAAGTACCATGATAATGGCATATAACTCTGCCTTTTGTACGGAGTTGTAAGGGCTTTGAACTATGTTACTTATATTTCCTGATTTATACCCTGTCTTACCTGATTTGTTTGCATCCATGTAGAAGGTAAGAACTCCAGAAATAGGTGTTTGCCTCACTATACAAGGAAGAATCCAAATTGTTTTCTTTATGAATTTGATTCTCTCTGTTTTGGGATAGTAATTACTAATAGTTCCCAAAAAGTCACTGCAAGCTATTTGCCAATACTCATTATCCCTCCATAAGGAGGAAATTTCCTCATTAGTTAAATGTACAATAATTTCAACTGGGTCTTTTCCAGTCAGTTGATGAAGCCTTAACTTACCTTTTAATATCAAATTGGAAATCTTTTCTATATATGTTTTCAGTTTTTTATCCTGTTTATGTGGCAGAATACCCATTCTAGTATGATATCTTCCCTTGGCATTAATATTCCTGAGGGGTATTCTCTAGATGGTAAAATAACCAGAATACAC